AATATGAACCATGTGGACACTTTTTAATCCAAGTTTTCTGCTTCTTTTTAGCCTTCACCTACAGTGCAATGCTACCAATGCTCAAAGGAAGTAGCTATGGGCAATTTTCACCAGGAGCAGGAGCACCCATCATTGAAAAGAAAGGTGAGAAACGTTGGCTTTACTTGCATGTAAATGCATAGTAAAAGGCATATGGATGCTCTGGGGTGGGAGAGAGAGAGAGAGGACCTCAGTGGTAAAAGTCCCGGGGATRCTCTTTGGATCTCTTAGAGTAAAACATTTGTGATTGGGAATCTTTAAGGATGTCATTTTTGAGTTCCTGGATATTTGTATTTCTACAACAAGCACATATGCATTTTTATAATCCTATATTAGCCTTTTACAGTTATGACTTAGGAGGGGAGAATATCATTTAAAGTTTTCTTCGCAATGATATTTTTTATCTAATTTCATATGTAATTTTAATTTATTTTAGACATGTACAGTGCTATAAGTGCTCCTTGAACGACTGAATGGACAATTACCACTCMCACAAGTTTCCTGCAGCARYAACATCAGTACTGTAGATTGGYGTCTTAAACGTATGTCTCTCAAAAAACTGCTCAGAAATGGCACCAAAAAAAGTATAAAAGTCCTTTCAAAATGTTCAAATATTAAAAGTGAAGTCTGCAAGTCAGTTCCAGTGATTGCTCTAGAAGCTTCTGCAACTATTTCCATTGAATTTAATTGTACAAAGTATTACCCTGCAAATTATTTAACTTCGTCATGATTCATATATTTTTCCAGAGCAGACGCACTAATTTTAGTGATGATATAGGTTTAGAGGGCTAAAAACCAGACAAAAGTTGGTTCAAAAAATTTATTCTGAAGATGATTGTTTCAGTATTCCGCTTTCACTTTCACTTGACGAACCTCAGGCAAGATTATAGTCAGCAGTATGTTGCTGATGTCCTATTGAGAAATAGCTTCTTTATCAAAATCTGCTATAGGGCCAAAACTCCTAACTCCTTTTGGGAATGCGAGCATGAGGTGTGCGTCCAGTATTTATTTATTTGTATTTTATTTAGCTTATACAATTATTATT